GGGAACACAAGCCCGAAGACGACACCTCGCGCCAGGCGCGCGCCTCTCCTCACCGCGGCCTCCCCGCCTCGCGCCCCCTTCCCCCGGGTCAACCGTGCCGCGCGGAGGCTCTGGGACGGCGCTGCTGCAGCGGGCCCCCTCCTCCCGCCCCTCCTGCTCTCTTTCGCCTCCTCGACGCTTTTGTCAATGGATATTGGTCGCTAATGAGAGTCCCATTTAACGGACGGCCGAGAGCCACGGGCATGTCTCGGCAGCCAATGAGGAAGGCGGGAGGAGGTCTTTCTCTCTCTCTCTCTCTCTCTCTCTTCCCCCCCCCACGCTAGACCCGCCCCGTGCCGCTGGGGAAGGAGCAGAGGGGCGGCTCCCCCCTCCTCAGCTGCGCCGGGATCCAGGGGTGGAGGTGCCCCCCGCTGTCCCCATCGCATTTGGGGAGGGGTCGATGTGGTGGTGGCGGTTTCAGCCCTGCCTGAAGTCGTTGGCTTCGCTTCAGCTCGCACTGTGACTGGAAACCTGGAGCTTCCGACGTTCGCGCATGCCCTCTGTTGAAACCGCAGGCTGCGCCTCCACAGGGGCGACATCGAGGGATCCAGAGGAATCCCCGGGCCGGGGATGCCTAGTGGGAGGCCTCGCCTCGACCAGAGGAAGGATGCGCAGGAGGGCTTGGGACGAGCGGTGGGAGCCAACCTACGAGGGCCCGAGAAGGAGAGAGACTGTGTGTGCGGGTGTGATGGGCATCATCCGAGCCTGAACGGCTTGCCCTGTGGAGGGGATCGCGGTGTGGGAGGCAACGAGGACGCGGGCTGGTTTGCTGGTTTGCTTTCTGCCTTTCCCGCGGCGCCTTGCGTGGTTTGTGCTGCCTGATGCAAGCAGAGCCCGCCGCCCCCCCCCCACCAGGGACTTTGTTAGGCAAAGAGCCGTACAGTATCATTTATAACATCCTCAGGAGAGCCTCTCCTCCCCCACCCTCGCTGCTAATAAATCTCTTTAAACCACCTGCAGCTCCTCCGGACCTTTGGATGTTGTTATGGCTCTTATTTCCTCTCCCCCCCCCCACCGCGCACTTGATTTGTTGTTCATGACGCGAAACATCAATAAGCCGTGGAGGAGCAAGGAAACACGCGCAGGCGCGCGTCTGCTCGGATGTGTTGGCCGGCTCTCGGCGTGCCTGGAAAAGGAGGAGATCGGGCTCGCCAGAGCCGGCTGTGGGTCTCGAACCTTTGCTTTCACCCTCTCTCCAGGCCATCGGGATCATTCATGCCTTGTGTAGCATTCAGCCGAACATGCGATATACGTAACAGGGTCCTTGGAGGGGGGGCCTTAGGGGGCAGGTGCGCTGAAAACCTTTTTGAGGTGTGGGTGAGCATCCCTTTAAGCGGATCCAAAGTATGTTTCTACAGGTTTATTTAAAATAAAGAAAGCCGGAGGAATGGAAAGTATGTGAATCTCTCTTTCACGATAAGAAAGAAGGGGGTCTTGAGTGGCAACCCAAAAGTCTTGCAGCACCTCCAAGAGAGATTTTAGGATGGCAGGTGCTTACCTGAACACTGTCCATTTCGTGAGATGCCTTGAGTACCACCTGAGTTTTAGAGGGATATTTATAGACACTGATTTACTTATTAATACCTAAGGCCAGAGGGAACTGAAGTGCAAACTGTACAAAGTGACAGTTACCTGAAAAGAAGTAATTCACTAAATTTTGCTGGATGGGCTGACTGCTGAAGAATTGATGCCTTTGAATTGTGGTGCTGGAGGAGATTCTTGAGAATCCCCTGGACTGCAAGGAGAACAAACCTATCAGTTCTGAGGGAAAACAACCCTGAGTGTTCACTGGAAGGACAGATCTGAAGCTGAGGCTCCAATACTTTGTTAGCCTCATGAGAACAGAAGGCTCCCTGGAAAAGATCCTGATGGTGGGAAAGTGTGAAGGCAAGAGGAGAAGGGGATGACTGAGGATGAGATGGTTGGACAGTGTCATCGAAGCTACCAACATGAATTTGAACCAACTCCAGGAGGTAGTGGAAGACAGGAGGGCTCTGATCCATGGGGTCACGAAGAGTTGGACACAATGTAACGACTAAACAACAACATCAACAATAAAGACATCCTTGCGTCCTGGTTAGCTGGCTAGCCGATGTAATCTGCGTAAGAGACCATTTCTGTGTCTATGTTTAACCACTTTTGTTCAAACCAAGGAGTTGAATTGCTTGATGAATTGCTGATCAGTGATTTCACAGTTGCAATTTGTCTTTTGTTCAAAAAAGCCTGAGTGTTCAGAGAGGCAGAAGTGTCCACTCCCTTCCCCATTCCTTCACTGCCTTTTAGGATTGCAGTGATCAAAGATTATCTCCTGTTCTCAATTCCCCATCTGTAAAATACAACAATCCTTACCTTATAAAGTTATAATGAAGTTGCTACATGTCTCCCAGAATTCTATATATGGTTCACTAAGAATCCAGTCTTTGGAGCATAATTATTTATGTTGGTATTGCTGACACTTTTACTGGACAAACTCACAATAATAATGGACTAAATCCAATGGTTAGTCCTGGCTAATGCAGAACTGGCTGAATGAATGGAACTTGTTACATCAGCTCTTATGTAACTATTGTTGTGACTGTTCTGCTGCTTTACTCACCATCACACATAATATTTGTGATTATATATCACCTGAGATGTCTCCTCTGTAAAAAAGAAATTGTAGCACAAATATCTAAGTCAACTTGTTTAAAACTTGGGGCTGAAGTATCTGCCATTCCTGGCTGAGTGGGGAGCAGAGGACAATCCTACAGAGTGACAGTGAAGACATTTCTTCTCTGTAAAATAGCAAACAACTCACTGAGCATCTTCTTTAAAAAAAATAGAGAAATCTATTGCCCAGGCAACGGCAGCTATTTTTAAAAGTAGCTTCTTTCTTCTTTCTAAAATGAAAAACTTGCAGTGAGACCAAACAGATGGCTATCTTAAACTGTAAAAATTCTTCAGGAGCAGTGATCATTATTAATAGCATAAGAAAAAAAAATAACCATAGGCCATTTTCTGTTGAAATCTACAGGCTCTCTTTCGATTTCTCAAAACAGTGCAAAAAATGGAATAAATCAAAAAATATAGGGGACTCTACAAAAATTCCTACAAGGCCATGGTCACTTTACTATTGATACGCTGCCTGCATTTTTTTCCCTTTCTTGGAAGGAAAGGGCAGGAATGGAAGAGAAACTAGAAAGAGCAAATGATACATATGAGCAAAACAAGCTAGTAATGCTATGTGAGAATTAACACAGAATAGTAGCAGAGAACAGGTGTGGACTGTGGGATGGATGAGGTCAGAGGTTTCAGATGCCAGCTCTGTGGTGTAGACTAGAACGTCTGTCCCGATCTTGCTAAACAAAGGGTGGGCATTCCAGGCAAAACCAAAAAACACCTGTGGCATCTCAAAAGACCAACTGCTTATATTTTAATGTGAGCTTTTGTGGGCAAGTCTACTTCTTCAGAGAAGATGGGCAGTCATTCCATACCATTCAACCTTGCTTTTGGTTTGTGGACAAGGATCAAATGGATTCCTTTTCCTCTCCTACTTAGAGATGTCCAGTAAACCTCAGATCCTTTTTAAGCCATTCCAGTTTTAGTATTAAAGCATTTTAATAGTTTTACTTTTTTTAAGATTTTAGTATAGAGTTCACTAGGATCCTTGGTAAGTGGATATAGGTTTGCAGTTTAAAATCTCCTTCACTTTTCAAAGTTTATAAAGAATTCAGTATTATTTTCTTATTCTTTTCAGCCTTAAACTGTTCTTCCCTTGCTTGTCTATCTAAGAAATTGTATGTAGAAGCTTTCCATGAAATGGTTAATGCTGAGCCTGTAACTCTTGTGTTTCTGGCTGCAATTTCATGGCCCAGCACCACTTTAACACCCCCAACTATTATCTATTTTGTGGTGTTTCTCCCTGAAAGTGGATTATTATTTTAGATTCAGTGATAGGCTCCATTTGGTGCCTCTAATTCTGAAGTTCTACATCCGTATTTCTGTTTTCCACAGGGATTAGAAACAGTCTTATATAAGATGCTAAAAATAATAAAAAGCAATAATATTACTTACTAAAATTAATTTCAGACTGAGGGAGGAATCACAATTACTGTATTAACATGAGCTTTGTGGCGCAGTGGTTAAAACGCTGTACTGCAGCTAAAACTGTGCTCACGACCTGGGGTTCAAATCCCAGGTAGCTGACTCAGCCTTCCATCCGTCCGAGGTCGGTAAAATGAGTACCCAGCTTGCTGGGGGGGCAATGTGTAGCCTGTATAATTAAATTGTAAACCGCCCGGAGAGTGCTTGTAGCGCTATGGGGCGGTATATAAGTCCAATAAATAACTAAATAACTAAATAACTAAATAACTAACTAACTAACTAACTAACTAACTAACTAACTAACTAACTAACTAAATAAATAAATAAATAAATAAATAAATAAACAAACAAACAAACAAACAAACATTGTTCCTTCACCAAAGAGTTATTATATGTGATAGGGAGTGGAAGGCACTGATGATGGAAGTCAAATTGAATATTTTGGGTAAACTATATGCATCATTGGGATACCCAGTATAGTGTAATGGTAGAATGGTAGACTAGAACTCAGGAGGCCTGGATTTGAATCCCCACTGAGCCATGGAAATTCATCCATGGTGTGGAACAGTACAACCACTCCTTATATATCTCCCGTACCTTGAAAATCCCCTCAGGCTTGCTATAAGTTGGTTCCAGTTTGATAGCACGTAACGTAACATAACGTAATACAGCATAACATAAGCATCATTATCCTAGTGTGGTATAGTGGATAGAGTGACATACAAGGACTCAGGACTCTTGGTTTCATATCTCTGCTAAGACATGGAAACTCACTGAGGGTAGTGGGTGGAACTGGTAAAA